AGACGTCAGATCCTTTTGATATTCAGTCAGTAGAATTTCTCAAACTCAGTCATTTTTCATTTCTTGAATAACCACAAATCCAGAGTCTCAAGGACATTCAAGGTCATTCAGTTATTTGACCTCTAATTGACTTTTGAATATCGTGTTCTTAAAGGGCAAACTTTTTCGGATCGGTTGATGTTTGTTACATGTTGATAACTTATACCGTTGTGCAGATTAAACAATAGTAGACCGAAATAATAATGAAACGTCAGTAGTCATATAAAGTTTGTCTCTGTACCAACTTGGATTTTCAGAGACAGTTTTTATCCGCACATTCAGCACATTGATCAAATTTAAATAATCCCATAACCTTTCATCTTGCATACCTATCACATCATGAACTTAACTTTTTAGCTCTGGCGACATTTTAAAATCAACTTGATCAATTCAACGGTCAACTTAAGTGTAAACAATAATCATTTTGAAAGGTTTGCAAGGCTACTCAAGAATCAAATAGCCGTCATTAAGGAGTGAAAAAAATTTAATTTACTTTTGTTTGTTTCTTCCATTGTTGTTTACAAGTGATTGTATTATTATTTTTTATTATCATTATCATTACCATTATCGTATTATTATCGTTGGCCTTTTGAGGAAATTTGAAAAGCATGAAAATCAAATTTCAAGTCTCAAGGAGAATGGTTAAAGTTAACACAAACAACAAAAAAAACAAGGTTTAACTGTGAGAGTTTAAAGCGGATAAGTGGAGTTAAATGATCTTTATAACTGTGTGTTGTAGCTTTGTTGATCAAAAATGATTGTTGAACATTTTTCAAATGGATGTGAATCACGGAAACATGAAATCACCACTAAAGAACAAACATTTGGCCCATTCTCTCAACAAAATTCAGTCTCATTCTCACCATTATCATGATCATTGAATGATTCAACAATAACATTGAAACAGTGAAAATGGCATCATAATGTTGAATAGAAAAGTAAAAAAAAATGTTGAAAAAAATCATCAGATGCAATAGACAAAAGGAGTTGATAATACTTTCCACCTTGAACTAAACTCAGAGCAATTTGATTATCAGAACAATTAATGTTTAATAATGAGTTAACCAGTTGAAAAGGAAATGATTTGACAAATGAATTTGAATCGAGATTCAACAAAATTTCAACCTTTTCAGTTCATCTCACGTCAATCAAAGCAATAATCATAATTATTGTAAAATTGACTTTATTCCAGCAATCATGTGAATCAATGTCAAAATGTAATTACATTTACATTTGATTTGCACAAAATTTTGCTTCGAATAAAAAAGTCATTTCCAAATTGACATTTTTCTCTGCCTTCCCAGCATCCAATATGATAATGATAAACTCCCAGGTATAATAGTATTTTACCTTTTGTTGTTGTTGATGTTTTTTTTTGTTTTTTTTATTCACTCATTTATATCATTTCAACACTTTAACCATCACTTTAATTTCACTTCATTTAACTCAATCATCATCATTAAGGTTCACAATTTATCTGGTAAAAGCGACGAGGAACAAAAAAAAAGAGTTTCAACATGAAATATTGAAAAGTGAAAAGTGAAAAGACTCGAGAAATAAATATTCAAATGCTAACCATGTTAATGTACTCAAATGGTTTTCCTGGGCTCTTCATGTTTAAGTAAATAAACTGAAATGGAGCGGAAGTTAACTCTTTTCAAATGAATCAAGATGATGGAAATGCTGAGAATGGTAAACATTTTTTTCCTCCAAAATTTACAGCAACTCAAGATGCTGATCAACCAGACTATCAATAGTTTCAAGACTTAATTAAACTCTGATTATTTTCATGCTGGCATTCGCACAAAATTCCGACCTCAAGTCATTCGACCTCAGATGATCATCAAAATTCTTCCAATGCTCAGCAGCTCCAAATAAAATCAAACTTCGATCTCAATTCAAATTGAAATTCATTTGGCAAATCAAACATTAATTGTTCTGATAATCCATTCAGTTTCGAGAGTCAATTTAATGTTTTTCTTGTTTTGATTTAACATTTCTTGTTCGAAGCTCTGAGATTTAGTTTCCATCGAATTCGTGTTTTCATGGAAAAGCTGAAAATTTTCAATGAATCAGTTTCTTTTGCTCTCCAATTGCTATGAGCCTTTAATGTTTTTAATTTATTCAATGAGTTTAATCGCGAGACTGACGATTGTTGATCATTTATCTGGTTCACTGCTCAATCATCCAATCATTTGTTTAGCCATTTTGAGTTGCTTTTTCATTCATCTTTATCAACTGCAATACATATTCATTAATACAATGTTTAAGGTAAACATAAACTCAACAAATATTCACTCATTTATTCAAATCTCATCATTATCATCATCTTCCCATGATACCTTCAACATTTTTCCTTTCATTATCTTTCTCCTCATCTCTTCATCTCCATCTACTTTTCATCACAATATCACTTTATACCAGGTTCACTCCCAGTAAACTATTGAAACAACTTGTTTCTATTTCTCAATCCCAGGATACTTTTGATGAATATTTTTTTCTTGAGTAAATTTTCCCAAGAATATCTAATGCATTTGACTTTCTTCAATATTTTTTTCCTTCTTTACCATCAGCATCATCTTCATCATGTTGAAAGACAAACAAAAAATCAAATCATGAAATAATCATAATCACATTTGTATCACTCGTCTGTTCATATTACCAGTACCATGATAATCTGCATAATTAATTGAAATTGAAGGGAAGAAGCGAAAAAAAAGACGAAAATCAAATTGTTCGAATCGAATGGTTGAAAAAATGTTTACAAACAATTAAATGATTACCATCATTAATCCACTTTCATAACCATTTTCAAATGCAATTACAGTTGATTATCAATCTGAACAATTAAAAGATTAAACTCGATTCTGTTCAATTACAGAATTGGTTAATCTGATTAAAAGCTAAAAGTGAAAAGTTAAACTTATTATCATTCATATCAACATTTAATGGATTATCAAAGTCGACTAATTAACAGAAGTAATTATAGTGATTATGGTTAATCAGAATCTGCAATTCTGTGAACATTTGTTCGAACTTCATTTTCTCGAAAATTTCATTTTAAATGTACATTTCAATGTAATATTATGTCATCATTTGTTTAACCTTTTTCTTGTGAAATTACAATTTCGAGTCAATCTCGAGTTTCATGTTACCTGAAGAAAATTAATCTTTTTTTCTTTTCTTCAAATGATGATATAAATGGTGGAAGAAGGCAGAAAATGATGAATACTGAATGGAATTCGTTTTTTTGTTGTTGCTCCATCAATATGAATACCATTGGAAGTGATGAAGAGAGGAATTGATCCTTTGCATCTTCTATTTATTAATTCACCTTGATCTGGTGAATAAAGATCAGATAGAGAAGAGAGGAAAGAAAAGAGGAGAAAAGAAGTAAAAAGAATAACATGGTTTTTGAATAGGAATGGAATACGATGATAAAGATGAGAATGGTGAGACTAAACGAACACAAGAAGAGAAGAGTAAAAGAATGGAAATGATTTGGAAGATCGGGAAGAGAGAAGAAGATCTTTTTTCTTGTCTCATTGTTTTCCTTCGTTTCTTTTCATCGGTAACTTTCATCATCATCAGTATGAGGATTCCTTACAATGATAATGATAATATCAAACATTGTGACTGAATAATAGCTGCCAGTATTGTGAGACAGGAAAAAGGAAACAAGAAATTGACCAAAAAAAGAAGCAAAAATGAATCGTTATTCAAAACTCACTTCCACTGGACTAATAACCAAAATCAATAACTCAAAAGTCGATCCAAAATCAACAGTTGAATCAATCGAAATTGAGAAATTAATTTACCCAAAAATTCCTCAAATAATCAGTACTGGGAGTGAAGGTTATAAAGCATCACAAAGTGATTTCATAAATACTCAAATTTATCAGACCAAAACAAGATTGGACAGTTTCAAGTTTTTCACTTTTTTGCGTCTTTCATCGACTTTTTTATTTCAAAAATGAAAAGACATTTGTGTTCAAATTGATTGACAAATAAAGAAACAATAAATATTCAGACTTTAAGATGAACGACTTTACTCAATCTTAGACATGATTTGAGGCCAAAAAGCTCTTCATCATGTCCGAACAATTAATTGATTGTTGGATGAAAAGATCTGAAACTGATCAAGAAAACACTTTGACTTGAAATACGATTTAGGAAAAGGAAGTGAAGATTGCTTACAGTATTTAATGAGAAATGAAAATTTTCTTATTTTTTCTTCTTTTTCTGTTTTCGTTTTGATTCGGTTTACGAACTGAATTCTTGTAAAGTTAAATTGTTAAATTTTGTCTTGTGAAGCTTTTACTGACAATTTAACTCATCTTGAAATGGATGATGATGAAAAATGGCAATCAGATGAAGTCAAAATCGATAAAAGATGATTGAATTGTAAAGACAAAGTTGACTGACGAGTCAAGTTTCAATTGAATTTCTTTTCCTTTTGCTTACACCTTTGGTTCATTGTGAATCATTTTTCATTTTGCAAATGATGTTAATCTGATCATATCTGGAAATGATTTCAACATATGATAAAAGTTTCACTGAGCAATCATTAAATCTTGATAAGAAGAGGGAAACAACGCAAAAATGTTGAAATAATGGTTTAAATATTTTGCTCTTCACTTGCAAGTGAACACATGAAAAGGTTGAAATTGAAATAAGTTAAAGAGGATAATCAGAAGATAATGAAAAAAAAAGAGTTTCATGTTGAAGGAAAATCCTGCGCTGATTAAACACTGTCATGGACATTGTATTCAGGTAGAAATATCTTTTTCCATTCTCCTTTTCTCATCCTTATCTTCCATATCATCCTCGATGAAAAATGTTTTTTTTGAATCTCAGTGAGCCTGAGCATGGTAAACCATGTTTCATCGATTCTCTTGCAAATCTCACTCCCAGTTTATTCACTCCCAAACCTTTTCATCATTTGGCTTCTTCTCATCTTTCCCTCAGTTCCAGTTAGTTTGAATGAATGGATGAATGAGATAACTTGATGAGACTAGGAAAATAAAGGAATATAATAAATGCTGAAGAAAAAAAACAAACGGAAATAATGTTAATAATATTTTGACTTTTCTTTCATTTTTATCATCAACAGATTAAGGACTAAACTTATTTCATCAAATCAATTAGTGTTAGAGTTGCCATTGAAACTGACCCAAGATGAAGACGAAAGTTATGATTTATAAAAAAAAGACATTGAATAGATGATGATGATGATCAAGATTTACTGATTAAGAAAGTAAAAGGGAAGATGAAGATGATGAGGAAGAAAAATGTGATACAAAAGAGAAACTGATTAAGATGATGAGAAACAAGTAATTGATTTGATATTAGTGTTTCCATTAAGCTATAACTTTCCTTTCATTTACCATCAACTTTACTGTTAACAACTGAAAACTAGTGATTACCAAGTCAACCAATGTTCAATCATTCAAGGTAAGACAATTGTATCAACTGTTGTGATGATCATGACAATGATGAAATGGATGGAAAGATGATGGAAAAAATAGAAAATTCAAAAAGATGGAGAAAAATTTTTCTCCAAAAACTGACTTCAACTTTACCTTTGCCATCTACAAGACAACAACAATCATTAACATCATCATTGTAATCATTGTCATCATCAACACAAAAAGCTCATTACCTTTTATCATCTCATCCGTTGCCTCTTAATTGTCTCATTTCATATCCGCTTTTTGTGCTCCATTGTCATCATCATTTTACTAAAAATAACGTTTCAACCTTTCACTTGAAAAACATCATTGTTTCGTCTTTTCAAAGATCCGTCAAGTGTCAAAAATATGGTCAAATCGATGGTTAAATGTTGATCCAGTTTCATGTGTTTACCTTGACTAACCAAATGTCATTGCCATTTGGGTCCATGTGAGGTACAAAAACAAGGCTCAATGTGATCACTTTTTTTGTCCTGTTAGGTGCTTCATCTAGCATCAACTCAACACTTGATCAGCCAACTCACGATCATCGATCTGTTGATTTATATTCAATTATTACTCCAACCCAAAAGCATCATCAGTCTTAATTACAACCTTACTTAAGTGATTAAACAGGAGCAGTTGAAAAGATCAATGTACAAATTGGATTTGGTGACAATAAATTTAATTGAAATTTAGTGATGTTTTAAATTGTGACAATTTAATTGGACAAGCAGCAAAAAAAACAACAAAACCCAAAAGTGAATGGAATCCAAAGAGAAGGGAAATTATTACAAAATTTTCTGGCAAAAGGTTAACACTCTTCAAATTGTCATTAATTTTTCATTAATTTGATACTTAATTTGCTCCAATTGTGTGCGTTTGTGTGTTTGTGTGCCATCAAGTGTATCAAATTGTGCTCTGTGTGTCTCTCTATCTGTGCAAATTGTTGACTTATTTTTGGCTCATTTTTTTCCATTCTCAGCCAATTCTGTCAACAATCAACCATGAAATCAACTTATAAATGTTACAATGTTCCAAGTCACGTTATATTAATTTTCGTGATCACAATTTGTCTCTCCAGTAATGCTATTGAATCAACAATTGATCTCAATCCTTCCCAGTTTGGTTATGATAACAGTCAACAATCACCTTTTAATAACATTATCAATGATGATGGTGATGATATTAGTAGCAATAACAATGTGAATGATAACGAGTTGAACACTAACAATGATAGATATAATGCTAATTATGATATTAATAGCAATGCTAACAACATTAATTCACCTCAAGTAAACTCTGATTTATCTACTGGTTCCATATCATCTGATCTTTACGGTAATTCAAATAGATTAATAGTTAACGAGAATGACGATCAACTCAACCCATCGCCATCATTATCCTCTTCTTCGTCTTCTTTATCATCGCTATTATCATCTTCTTCTCTTGAACCTACAACTGCAACTTTGACCATCTTAAACCTCCAAGGAACTTGGAATTCATTTGCTCAATTTAAAGGATGGTTAATTTCACGGTCCCATGGAACTCTCAGTTTCACCTTTCGCACCCATGAACCCAATTCACTGCTTTTATATTCCCAATCATCAACTTACTGTTGTGATTTCATGGAGTTAAAGTTGGTTGAAGGTGTGCTAAGATTAAGATTCAATTTAACACAAGGAACTTCAATCATGTCCATTGGACGAAACCTTCATGATCATCAATGGCATGCAGTTGAGATAATAGTAAACAAAGAATCACTCGTTTTAAAGGTTAGTTTCGCGATTAAAGATCAATACTTTAGCTAAAAATTGAATACTTCTTGTGACACTTTACTGCTTTTTTACGGTAAATAAAAGTGAAAATAACTGACGAAAGTTAATAGCTTGTAATCAATGAGATTATGGATCGTAAAGAGACATTGTTCAGGGTTAATGAGATACATGAAAATATAAGGTTCATCTTTGACTGAGGTTTGTTTATTAGGTACGGATTGAGTTGCGATTTATGATGAAATGAGAAATTAATTTTTTATTCAACTATCAATGATTAAACTGCATGGATTGTTCATCGAGAATATTAGCTGAAAATCGTTCTATTTTTTCTTCTCGTTCCTAAGAGAATAAACTTTCTCAATTACAACCGCTAAGTCTTAACTATCTTTGAACAACTTATGTACTAGCATGACCAGGCCATTAGACAGTAAAATCTTAACCTAACCAGTCCACTCTTGTCCCATCAAATGCTGGGTAAAAAAGACTTCAACTGTCAACTACATTTCACCCAATAACTCTCATCATCTCTATCAGTCTTTCAGCCTCAACAATCAACTTTCCAACCTAACTAAGTTACTCTGCCAGCATCAATTATGGCTAACAATTAGAGTCTTTGTTTCATTCCTTTTCATTTAAATTCTCATCATAATTTGAGTTTTTGTCTTGATTTTTTTTCCAAAATATTGAGTATTATATTGAAAAGAGTCTTGAATACGGGGTGTTAGAAAATCAACTAGACCTGTTTGAATGATAATAACTTCGAAATAGCTGGGCCATTTTTTTTTATTTTTAGTATCATTAGAAAGCGGAAAGTCCAACTTAAAAATATTTGTTCATTTTCAAAAGGAAAAATTCTAGGCCGAACTACCAATTCCATACGATGCAAAAAATTGTGAAAATTTCAGGTGAAATTTGAAGCAATTTTGTGTTAATTTTACTATGGGATGAAAATTCAATAATAGGGAAAATTTTTGCTAGATAATTAATTGAAATAAAAAGTTGCAGCATATTTTTTGACATGTATCTAAGATTCTTTTGACCTTAAAAAGTAAGAAAAATTCGAGTCCGAAATCAATGAAAAATTCGAAAATCCAAAACAGAAAAAAATTTAGTTTTCGTCCATTTTTGAGAGCTGAAGTTATGCGAAAGTTCTTTTTTCTATTTTAATATGTTTTCTAGTCGAAGACGATTCTAACAATATATCACGAGTCTGTTAACTCTGCTTGGTTCGAAAAATATTGAAGCGCAAATAGGTCTAGTTGATTTTCTAACACCCTGTATAAGAGTTTTTGTTGCAATTTATTAGCACCAATGTGCACCAGGGCACAGTTTAGTTTTTATTTTCATCTGTGAATCGAAATGTTTTTTTGGTTCCATTTTGCTTTACTTTGCATTTCACTTTGATTGAATGTCAACTTTCAATTTGTTGCTTCCTGGTGACACTTTGTTCACTCCAACTTGACAGTCTATAATAAAACTGATAAATATTGATGATGCTGATCAAGTTAATGCATCTGATAATTTGTAAATCATCAATATTTGTTACTGGAAAATTTTGTCAGACAATTTAAACTGTTGAAAATTCATTAGCAACTCATTGATGTTCATGATGGCATTAAGGATGAGACTCTGTTTATTCATGTTATCAGCAAAATAAATGTTCATCTCTTTCATTCACCTCTCATTGTCATGATAAATTGCTATAAATTATTAATACTTTTAACCGGAAACAATCGATTATCAATTGTTTGCACAAGATTCATGGAATAACTTTCAGCGCTTTTAATCCTCTCATGAAATGTTCAAAAAAATCAACAATCAAGAGTTGATCATTTCTCCATTCATCATGGTTATGCACATTAATCAGTTGAAATTGAGAAAACTTTTAAGCGCAAGAAAAAGATGGAAATTAAAAGAATCCTGAAATCTGGAATGAAACGTCACTGATAATTTGTGTGATTAACATTCTGACATAATAATCATAATAATCGGGTGATAAAAGTGAGGATAAAAAGGAAAAGAAAAAAACAAAAGAAAAAAGATGAATAACTATTTATATCAAGTTACTGAATAAGAAATGTTGCTTAATATTACACTGAATAATGATATAAATCATCAATCATTCAAGAGTCATTCTCTTCTTTAGGTAAAATTACGATTATTACAAGATGATCAGCCAGTGATGAGGAATGAGGAAAAAGGTAATAGAATAAGGGAAAAAAATGAAAAATATTGCTGAATAAATAATTACCATTAGAAGAGCAAAAAAACTGATGATCATGAAAAGAAAAACAAAAGTGACGATGGAAATGGAATGAATGAAGTTTGAAATGATTATCGATACAGTTGATAGCTAATGCAATGAATGGTAAAAGTTGAACTGAACTGAAAAGATTCAGTTACATTTGTCATTCTACATGTGTTTTCATTTAATGATCTCATTGAGTCACGTAATCTGTTTTTGAAGAGTTTAGTTTTTAAAACTTCAAGATTAACACTTGTTCAATTGCTGTCCAAAAGCCGATTAACCTTTCAGATCGTGTTTCACATTTTGAGTGAAAAACAATTACGAGTTCCTTTCACTTGCAAGTTTAACCGAGCAACCCGACTGTTCAATGTTTACGACTATCAGTGACTATTTATCATTATTAGGCTAACAGTTTAATACGACTTGAAACATCTTTATAAACGTTCATTATTTCACTTCACTCCAAGAGTCTAGTTTAACCTAACAGACGATACCTACAGCATCAACACTGAACATCAGTTGGCTAAACCTTGCAGACAAAGCCAAAGGTTATTTTGCATTATTGTGACAAAAAATGGATAAGACTGGGCTAAGAATCAGCTATTGAACTTTCTTTAATCCAAAATAATCATATTATCCAATGTCATGAAAATTGAAAATCTGCTATTCAATGAAAGTGATAGGGAAACTGAACAAAGTGATAATGGATCAAAAGATGGACCAAATCCGAGTCAATCTTTATGTGTGTTGGGAAACAGGGAATCTTGAATGAGCTCTGAAGATCAACTTTCATCATTAAAAGAGCAATGATTTTTAAATATTAGCAATGCAGGGTCAATCTGTCACTCAGCTAGTATCTCATATCGAATTGTTTCATTCGATTTTTTTCATAGATTTCGATGAATATAATCGATTTAACCAGTTCGATTTATCGAGAGTGAAATTTTCATTGTAAGTGAAAGTGTTTTGAATATTATTATCAAACTCACCAAGGTTGACCATCCTAGATTTGAAAATAATTTCTTGCTTCAGGTTAATCTCGAGTGTGTCGAGTGAAAATTAGTAAAAGTTGAAATGCAATTTACAATTGATTGTCTTTGGAAAGATAATGGCAAAAATAATGAGATTTACCGAAAAAGAAGAAAAAGATTATCCAAATGAGCAGGGAATTAGATTTCAACTCCCAAAGTATTGTTAATATATTGAATCATATCAAATCTTTCACATTCCCTTCCAATGAACATGATTCAAACTCATTATTATGAATAATATCAATTATAATCTTCACTCCTCACTCTCTCTCTTCTCCGTTTTCATCCTCCTTCAAGGATCCAAAATGTTTTTTATCTTCACATCAAAATCTCTCCGTCATTTCAACAATTGACTGCTAATTTTTACCTTTGCTTCTAACTTAGGGTGTGGAGTCAACTTGGTGTTTCACCACGCAAATTCATCCAAACTAACCGTCAATTAGTTTAGCAGAAAATTTTTTTCATCCTTCATCCTTGATCATCTTCTCTCCCTCCCTCATCACCATCACCATCATCCAATTCCAATTATAATATAATCTATTCCATGATTTACAGTCAATCATATTCATTCCTATTTTCACTTTTCCCATCCTCAAGAGATTCGCGACTTTTTACTTTCTCAATTGAATACTATCTGATTGCTGAATCTTTGATTTCATGATTACAATTTCTGTGCCTTCTCATTATTATCCATTATTGATATTTTCACCAACTCAATTTCATCATGAATTCATTCCTTTCAACTTAAAACATCAATCCATGTCATTGAAATGTGTCGAGAGAAACAAAAGTGAAGCAAAAAAGTTAATCAATTTTTTCAACTCTACTCGAGTAAAAGTGTCTTTAGAAAAGCTTCAACTCTTTGATTACATTTAATTGAGCGAGTGTTAAATACAAATGTATAAAATGCTTGAATAGCTCAGGGCACAATTAATTTAAATGAAATGAAGAAGAAAAAAATTGAAAAATATTTCAACTCAAGTCAAGTAATTTCATTTGCTTTTAGCAACTTTCCCATATTTTCACTTGCATAAGTGTCAAAATTATTCAATCAACTTTTTGTTGCAAAAAGCTTCCGTCTTTGATGAAAGAAGTTCAGAGTTTTGAGGAAAAAAACTTCTTTTCTCATTGACTTTTCCAATCAATGGTTGGTCAATCTGTTGATCAATCTGTTGATTAATTTGGTGATTAATTAGTCGAGTTAATCCTTTATTGTATCCTCGTTTTGTTCTGGTCTGATTACAGATTGACAATGAAATGTCAAGTCGAAGTCTTCGCTCATTTCATGGAGAAAATTCAATTGAAAAGCAAAATAAAATGGATTACCTTTTTATTGGAGGATTTCCTCACAGTTATTCATCTGAATTTGTCAATCTTCATCTTCCCTGGGTATTATATGAGCCAACCTACAGAGGTAAGCCTCCAAATCATCTTCTCTTTGGTCATCCCTTAAACCTTTCCAATCTCCTCCATTATCATCATCTTTATCATCAAAATGCATTTCTTTTTTACCTCTTCTTAACTCATCATGGTTCAACATGCTTCATCATGTTACCATCAGTTGCCCATCATCTGGAATTATTAGATGAAGCAAGAAACAAAAGCAGAAGAAGATGAAGAGAGAAAATTGTAAACTTTTTTTGATTACTTGAATATATTTTCATTCACATTGATCAGAATGTCAACAAGTTAGTTGGTAAAGAAGAAAGGAAAACATTTACAGATTGAAAGGAAGCCAAAGGAAGGTAAATCAAACAAATCCTTCGTAAAAGATTAGCACTTAATGGATTACCCATGAGATTAAAATTGAAGCTAAATTGAAATGTTGAACAAGATAAAAACGGAATCAAGATGAAGATAAAATCAGAGTCAAGAAGTCAAAATGAAATAATAAGACAAAAAAGAAACATTATTACAGGATTCAACTTGCAATTGGTTGAGATTCAAACTGAATCGATTTTGAAACATGAATGATGTCCATAGTTTTCTTGGGATTAACCAAATTAATCGATATTTTTTCTCCTTCTCTAATTGTTTGTGATTTTTTTTGTCCATTGAATTGTAGGTCAAATAAGAAACGTTGTATATGCTAGTGAAGATAGTTTATCTGGTCCAACTAATCAGGAGCCAATTAGATGGAATGGACTTCGTCGTGATTCAAGTGAACCATGTAGTGAGTCTGATCCATGTAACCATGGTGGAACCTGTATCAACACAGATTCCGGACCTGAGTGTGATTGTCGTGGCCTTGATTATATTGGCGATCACTGTGATAAACGTAAGTCGAAATCGTTCAAATATTTACTTTGTAATCTCTTATGAGATTCAGAAAAATCTTTCAATTGCCAAGATTTGATTTCATCTAATGAACGTTTCATGCATCTGAGAGCAAAACCTTTACCTAGACTTTGATTAGTAAATTCAAAGCCGCCAATCTGATCCATTTCCATGGAATTTGTTGCAACTACTCAAAGAAATCGAACGAAACCAGAAAATTTGGTGTTACCTAGAATCGCCAGTTACAAGAAAATACAAGTTAATACTTGAAATACAAGGTTAAAAGGCAGAGTTTACTTTGATCTTATCAATCCTAAACCAATTCAATTTCATGACTAAATTGATTAAAATACATTTTCGACTTCAAACCTGCTTGACTTATCGGTAAAACGTATATTTATCAAACACTTATTCAACAAATATTTGATATTAACCCTGGGAGTGATTAATGTTAGTGAACTGATTTTTATCCTAATGAATCTTGATCTCTCTCGACCTGATACATTAACACAGATATTGATCATTGTTGACTATAATAATATATTGAGACAATTTAATTAATTTTAATGATCATTGATCAATGAATATCAACACACACACTTGCATATATATTTACAATAATTTATTATTTTGCTAACAATAACTACTACCAGTAATGGGTGCGATCACACCTAGTTTCTGTTCATTCCTTTTAATCAAATGTTGAGCCATTACGTTATTCATTGACTATTTTAATCAATCAATAGTTGATAACAATGAACGCTTTAATGATAACAAGTAATAACAGGTTAAACCGATTTGCTCTTTTTGTGTCTGTTTCAAAGTCAATTGTAAATGTTAACATGAAAGAAATGATTAATAATGCGAAAATAATTTTCTGTGAACTTGGCCACAGAATTCAATTATCACCATCAAAATAGTTGATAATTTGAAATCAAAAAGTGAAGACAAAATGAAGACGTAAAAATGCAACTCCAAGCAGTTTCCATGGAAACTTGTTATTCTGTAATGATGAATGAAATCTGATAACAATGTTGAATATCAACTTGCATGTTTCCATTACTTCACATTTGAATGGATAATCTAAAGACAAGGGAAGGGAAGGAAGAAAGCATTTCAAGCTCATCATTAATCGCAATAAATTGACATTCAGTACCAATCATGAGTGAATGAATAGCAAATGAAAAATAAATGAAAATCATAACAATGCTAAGTTCAACTGTGAAAATTGTGAAAACCGTTTTACTTCAAAAATAAATACATTTGACAAGTTATCAAGTCTAACTGTTGATAAATAAAAAAGTTATCTCATTTTAACCTTCATCAGTTATTGTAATAACATTATTGAACACTTTTTCAGAGCAATTCAAGTGTCAAGTTGACAGTTGATGGTTGAAGGTAAATGTTGACAAAACAAAAGGTTTCATTTCAAAGTGTACAATCAATAACTTGAAATTTGTTAACATCGACCATGAGCAGAATTTTAATCGAAAAGAAACATTTCTTCCGAACTTTTCGTTATTTTTGATCAACTTTTTTAGATTAAGCAAAGTTTATTAAAGTTTAATTTAGACAAAAATTACATAAAATTCACAATCATGATGCATGTCTAAAAATCTATTTGTATTATCAAAATTGACTTTTTTTAGCCGGAAGAGAATACATTTGAGAAAGATATAGTCCGATGTTTGCGATGGAAGATAACCACAATTTATGTCTTCTGACACTCTCGACACACTGTCGAACAAACCGCCCGGCAATCAAAACCCTTTAGACACTTAGACTAGATGTGAACAGAGAGCACGACACTGTAGCAAAAGATGCAAAAAGATTTCGCTTGTTGACAAACACGCGCCTAAGCGCATGCGTAACGACAACACTCGACTTTGAATGAGGAGTGATTTCTGTTGAGTTTCAAGGTGATTCAAGGTCATTCATTTATTTTCTTCTGAAGGTCGACCAATGAATAAATGACCTCTAAGTGACCTTTAGAAGTCGTGAGAAAGCAAAATAAATGAATGACCTTGAGTGACATTGAAATTGCAATGATCAAATATTATCAAAATCCCCCTATTTCTCGAGTTATTGGTACAAACGACCTTCCAGGATGGAAAATGCCCAGTATAAATGATAACGAAATAAAAGTGGGGTTTAAGCCCATTAACACACCCAGCTTCATTACTAAGCTTTCCATGCAGTATTGAATATATCAATTTTATATTCTTTTGTTCGTTAAAATTTGAAACTGGAATTTGAATTTTAGCTCGGCATGCAAAGATGGGGCATATTTAACGTCTCTTTCTGCGACACTAACTTTTTGAAAATTTTTTTATGTTGTAATACAGTCATATGGCAAAAATCGTTCATATATTCCAAGGTCTATATTTACTGCAGCGCCATCATCCAATACTTAAACCTCCTCTAAAACAATTGAAATTAAAATGTATATTTCAATGTATAAAGGCGGAATACAATACAAATCAACATGCTGGTGGTAGTTCACCTACAAAGGGAAATCGTTTTATCGTTTTCAAAGACTATACATCTCGCTATCGACCGGGACTTGAGATAATTTTAAGTAACATTAACTTGAAAATAACAGCAACTGAAAAGGTTGGAATTATTGGAGCTGGAAAATCATCTTTAACTTTAAGTCTTTTTTGGGTGATTGAGCCTTGTTCTGGAATGAGATCCATTGACAAGACATTTCCATTTCCATTGAGCAGTTCTTGATATTATAAGCAGCTTAATTTGAATTGAATGAATAGAATCTAGAATTGATTCCTCTTTGGTTTCACCAGCCTCTTTTCCTCCGTTCTCCAGAAATATTTAATAAACAAATTTTAAAATTGCATAAAATGTAAAGTATTTATCAAAACAACTTGTCCAACAATTTTAAACGGCCATTCAAATCAATTTTTATCATTTTAATATTTTGTCTAACTTCTTATTATACAGGGCTATTCAGCTATCTTTACCGATGTTAAACGGCTATATCTTGTCCTGTGATTGACCTTGAGGCCTCAGATTTCTTATAAGAAAATTCCGCCGATATTTATTTGTTATATTTCAAGGTCAAAGTCATTCAAGGTCATTTGTCGGAAATCGCTCCTAACAATATTAGAGGTTAAACTAAGGTCATTTTGCATGATTGAGTGAATTAACAGATACATCAAATTGTAGTACATCTAACATCAAGTTTATCAAACATTGTTAATGTGGATAAGTGTGGTTTAAGCCCATTTATCATGGGTCATTAAATTATTTGACCTCTGAATAACATTTTCTGAGAGTGTGCACAACTCACGTTTGTAAGAACACCGTTACCATTCATTTATCAATGCTTTTTGAAAAGATTAGTTTGTCAATCCAACGATTCAAGTTATGAAAATGTAACAAACATCAACCAATCTGAAAAAATTTGACTGTCTGATAATGATTTTCAAATTGCATTTAGAGGTCAATAACCTATTTACCTATGATGGTCCTTGGAACGCTGGTTGCATGATTTTTCAATTATGAAAATTCTAACCAAATATCATCAAGATTTGAAATCTGGTTTGAAAACTACTAGCAAAAACCAGCGTTACGAATAAAAAAACCTGTACTTTGAATAAGTTCAAATATGAATACTAATACTTATTCCTTGCGTGCTTCAGATTTCGTTTCGTCTTTAAAATCTCAGAATTCCCTCTTCTTGTGATTTTTTGTATGCGATTTTCTCCCGCTTCTGTTTATGCCCCTACAAAAATTCAAAGTCCCAACTCTTAACTCAAAAGGAAAATTTTACTTACTCCTTTCATGATGAAAACATTGACCAAAATTTTTATTCAATTGTTTTTGAGTTTGCAAGCTCAATGTGATAAAAGAAAAGGGAAAAGGTTGAATTTTTGAAAACTTGTAAGATTGAGAAAAAATGTTTAAATTGGAAACATTTCAATGCGTAATATAATAAATATCAGGGAAGAAACAAAATATTATTATTACATTACAGACTGGGAATGATAAGTCAATCTTGTCATTCTCAATGTTCATCTTTTCTTCGAGTTGACACTTGAATAGATCATCATTTCTCATCATTCCATTTTGTTTACCCTGAAAGTGTAAAATCTTTTTTTCTTCTCCTCCTTTACCTTTTACCATTCCATGTACAACATGAATCGTAGCATTTCAAGATTTATCATCTTCCATCTTCAACTCACCTTTAAATTTTCTTGAAAAGTCTAATGAAAATGATAATTTCATGAGACTTTGAAAAAACTTTCCTCACTTTTGACCACAAAAATTTTTTATTAAAATTCACTTTTTTCCACTTCTTTTCACTTCAATTCAACTAATTAACTTTTGCCAAATTTCACTTCTTTACATGGAAAGAAGAAATTATGAATTTTCTCTTTTGAATTTAAATTCTTTGAATAACTTTGGTTCATTTTCCCTCGATTCTCACCTTTTCATTCTGAATCTTGATCATGTTTCCATTATCATGTTTGGAATGCTAAAGTTTTCCAAAGTTTTGTCTAACTTTTCAATGTTCATGCAATACTTTTTTTTCCGCTGAAACTTGATTGAAGTCGCTACAGAAAATTATCCATCATAATCAACGTTAATTTAGTGCATAATTATATCAATGTTGGAATGAAATTGTTCAGCTTCTCTTTTCAGATGTTAATTAACACAGTTTTATCCAAATCTCTTGACACTCACTTTGAAAACTTTTACTAATCATGTTTATTACAACTTTCAACTGACCTTATGTTAATCATGTTGACAAAGAGGAATTAGTTGAATGAGCAAAAAACAGAGTTTCATCAATTGTTACTTATTATAATTGTTGCAAATAATATTCAACTCCCTGAAGTAATTTTTTTCAACATGAAATATCTGATTCTAAATTTACTTTTCTCTGCTTTTTGTTTTCTGCTGTTTTTTTGTTTCATCTTAATTCAACTTAACATTCAGTTTTTTTGTTCCTTCTGTTTCCATTCGTAAATACAAAAGGACAAAATAATAAGATCTACACCAACATGATCTGAATTGAATTGAGAATAAAATACAAATTGAAAGAGTAAAAGTAAAAATGTATGAAAAGATATAAAACTAAATTTCAAAAAAGGATAAACATGAAAACTAATGAGATGAAAATAAATGATAAACTTAACTCTCAGGTTGTTGGATGGATATTTAAAGATGCAAATATTGATGGAAATTTCATTTTTTATATTTCACGCTAAGAGTTTATGAGTTGTATTTGTTAACAAAAAGTCATAAACAGGAAAAGTTTCAAATAAAAGTGTTCCAATGAGCTTTTGTAATTTGTGGAAATACTCGTGAAATCTTTTAGATTTGACCCGTGACCATGACCTGTGTCGACCTATTTAGAGATTAGAGATGAATCTCAAGCATGAAGTTGAGTTGTGTTGAGTTTGCAAACATTTTCCTTTTAGCCATGGCATTTTCCTTCAGATTTCACTGTGCATATATCAAATCTTTAATCTTTTCACATCCGAATGCGAGTATTTTATCCAAAAGCGATGCGAAATGCAGAGCTAATGACTTTATAGCGTAAATAGTTTTTCGTCTCCTCGTACATTTCGAAACCTCAATCAACTCTTACGATGCTTATGATTATAATTTAAGCTGATTGTATCTTAATGCAAATTGCCAATTGCATAGTTGGCATGGTCAGGTCATTAAGCGAGTAACAATTTCTGTATTGTACTGATGCTTAATAACTAAAGTCATCTAGATACTATTACAGCTTAATTAACTATTCAAAGTTTGAATTTTACTCTTGCCTGTTTCAGTCGCACAAAGTTAATTGTTGCAAGTTTAACCGCATAATGTTTCATCAAATTTGTTTTGGTAAATGAAAGTTTGTCAATTAAGATATTTGTAATTATTTGATGAAAATTGAAAAATAATGTCTGCTATTAATCATCTTTCAACGGGTACAATGTATTTATTTACCTGAAAAGTGTGAAGACATAATAATTTTTGCCATCAAAATAATCAAACCTGACTTGGAAACATTGTGAAAAGTGAAAGTTCAGTGGAGAGTGAAGAGCAACTTTGAATTACAAATGAGTGTTCACCCAATAAAAGCTCATAACTGGACAATTATATCAACATTAAAAAATGATTGCTAATAAACAGCTATAACCAGCCATTAAAATGAATTAAATTTTCACTTTCATTGATGAAACTCGACAATACATCACAATTAAACGTCGACTTATTGATTTTTACCTTTTTTGTCTCATTTGATTTTTCTCACAAATAGTGATGCTCACCATCACAATCATGACGATGATTATTATTATAATCACAATTATCTATCCATTATTGTAACCATTAAGTTGGTTGCCGTTAATTTAGGTTAACCCAAGTGTATTAACCTTGTAATTACCTTAATGAAGAGTTTAGTTAATGAAGATTTGTAGTGTCATAATGTGTGTTTGGTTGTTTTAAATTGCATGATTTAATATAATAAATTACAAAACAATTTAAAGTTATAATAATTGTAATATTAAGACAAATGGGATAAACGTTAAGATTGGTTAAATAACAAAGAACTGGAAAGAAGGGAAGAAAAGGTAAAAATGAATAAAGTCATCAATGTTAAAGGAAAAGATGATTTTTCATCTTTTTCATCTTCATCATCTTTTTATCATGATACAAAAGGAGAATCATTTTTTATCATCATTTACCATCACAATATAGACTCTACTTTCTTTTTTCATGGGTCCATTCAATATTAGATTGTGTATGTGATCATAATAATAATGTGAATCTTTCCACTCATCATCACCTTGTCAAATGTAACCATATCAATACAAAACTGTCAACCCAGAGACACATTTAAACAGCAACTCATTTATATATAATTCAGTGCATTTCATCAAATGATTTATGTTGTTATGTGTTTAACAACATAATTTACCTTCTCATTCTTTCCTCCTTCACCATCATCTTCATCTTCATCATTTTCATTGTCATCATAATCATCATCATCATATTTCTCACACTCTCTGAGTTTGTCAAGGCTGAAAGTCAAAAGTGTTTCAACCTAACAAAGTCACTCTTTTCCCATTGAAATACGCTTTTGATATGGGAACTATGAGATCGAATGATTCCATTTTCATTCTCATGTCTAGCTAATTTTTAGGTTAAAAGTCATCCTCATCATCATCCTCATCTTCATCATAATCTCAATTCTTTCATTATTTTTTCACAGTTGATGCATTGCACAAAATTAGAGTGAATGATCGAGGCTGAAAGTAGTCAATTTTTCAACCCAACAAAGTCGCTCTCGTCCCATTAAAATTAGCTCTTGTTATGGGACTTTTCAAAGTCCAATGACTGGATTTTTTCATTTTTCGCTTTTCGTCAAATTTTGTGCCATCATCATTTTCGTTGTCTACTTCATCCTTGCCGACACTCTCATCACCTTCATCATCGATCTATCTATCATACTTGGGTGACTTTGCTCAGGCTGAAAGTCAAAAACTTCCCAACCTAGTAAAGTCACTCTTTTCCAACAAGATTAGCTATTGACATTGGACTTTTTAGCGTCAAATAATTGCTTTTATTCTCATTTTCTGTAGAGTTTGTTTCTTTTGAGTTTGAAATTGATTTCATCGTCATCTTCATCTTTTTCAAAGTTACTTCTCCTTTGCCTACCATTAATTCAGAATTTCTGGGTTGATTTTTGTGTGATTCTTGGTTCTCCTATCTTGATCATATAAACTGAATCATATTATTAGCTTTGATAGATTTAGCTTATTGTTTTCTTGCTTATGTTGCTCTTGTTAACATTGTGGGTTATTAGCTCTAAACACAATTTATGTTCAACACTAGATTACTGATCATAATTAACAATTTATCACTGAACTTCTCCTTTTTGGTTAAAGTTAATTATCAATAGTATTTGATTGTTTGTTTCTTGACTTGTTTACTCAATGGATTGTTTTTTACATTTGCTTTGCTTTACTTCCCTGCATTAATACAAATGAAATATTCATATTATTTCTAATGATTTATTGATTATATGTACTTTGCTTTTTAACCTTCTTTCCAATCAAATTGATTGCCTAATGTGTTTGTTATCCATTCAATCAATTTCAGTTAACGTAAAAGCTTGCTGGTTACTAATTAATGTTAGTTAATATTAATATCGTAATCATCATGTTTTCCTTCAAAAAACGCGCTTCTCGACGGTTGCCAAGTGAACCTAAGCTTTCCCTCTTTTTTAATAACATTAACAATTGGCTTCTAAAATTAATTGCTTCTTTAATTATTTTTGCCAACCATTTTTGTTAACAATTTTTGCTGTTAAAACACTTAATTACTAACGTAAGTACCAAATCTTGCATGTAAATCTTTTGTTAATTTCAAATACATTCTTTTGTGGTCAAATTTCGTCAATTTAGTTCAAAGTAGCCTCTTCGTATTTGAAAATTCCTGTAACGGATTTTATTTTTGTTGGAGATCGTCAAATGGTCGAATCGAGATCCAAAGAGACGATGTTTTTGAATTATTTTGGGCCTGGACCTGCTAATTTATATGCTGATCGTCTCCACTTGAATGATATCGATACCAATTGATGTAATTTGACCATCGAGTTAAAGTCTACCCCTCTTGTTTCCATGTCAGGATGGATGGTAAAACGATTTGATACCATTATTATTGTTCCAGTATTTAAGATGATTTAAATGGCTGTTTAAGATGTCGTCTCAATGTCATTGGAATTATTACATCCATGTATTATGCTCAACGGAAATCAATATACGATTACATGATGAGATAATGAACCATTTTGGCCCCGCTGTAAATGTTATAAAGGTCAATGGCAATGATGATTTCATTTCCTGGATCAGGAAATTTGTATTAATATTTTAGGATAATTTCGTTTCCACCACTGAATAGCAGTCAAGCCAAAAGTCGAAGTAACACAATCTAAAACCAAACCATCTCAATATTGACGACAAATAGCTATTGATAAATTACTCGAGTTGCAATCAATAATTTCATGGAAGGAGAAAGGATCTTCAATAATAGCAACTAAAGACAACATTTTAACAATATTTAAACTCATCTCTCAATGCTTTGTGTAAATGTAATATTTTTGTCATCTCATCACCATCTTATTCAATTTACATTAACAAAAGGTTGCTCATTTCATTGTTCATCTCTAAACGAAAATGAAAATGAAATTAGATAAAAAAAGGGTGAAAATTAATTTCTTTCCAAGATATAAGATTGAAATGAGCATCAAATGAAAATCTCAACAATTGAAATTGAAAGTTACAAAATGAAAAGGTAACGAGAAGGCAAAAAATTGCAAAATGTCAAAATTTAAAGTTAACCCTGTAAATTGTGATAATTAACAATAATGATGAATATGTACAACCCAGATAGTTACATTAATGGTAGCTGTTAAGATGGTGATTTGTAGCTAAAAGCTTGAAGCTAATTACCTTCAACTATCATGTAGATAAGATGATCACTTAACATCAAACGTTTATTAGCTAAAATTAACAATCAAAGTTAATTTTCAATTTAGTCTCATCAAATCTAAATATTAACCCAAAATCGTAAAGGCGCAACATTAAAGATTACTAATTGCTGTAAGGCGAAACAACATTAATGACTTTTCCCAGTTTAACAACACTCAATGAGGGCTATTAATTGCGTGAAACTATTTTTCCAGTTTCCATAGGAAATGAAAAATCTTAGCATGTTAATTAATCTGAAACGTAATGAAGATTCAACTTGACAATCTTAATGATTGTCAACATTCATTTCCGTTCAGGTTACAATAATCAGAGCAACTAATCAAATTTCAACTCTGTGAATCCCTTGATAGGCAAAGAAACTAAAGGTTTCAATTTAACTTGAACATTCATCTTAATTTCACCTTGCAAGCCTTTTAATCATTTCAAATCAACACTTAACAAATGAAACAATTGAAAATTGTTTTAAAGTGAATCACTAACACTCAAAAAGGTTGATACTCTTGAGACTCATTACCTTTAATACTTATTAGGGTTACAATTTAAATTACCTTAATTGACTAGCAGATTATTGAGGCCAAATTGTTGCAATTAAAAGATTTAACTTGAAAATTTTGTGACTCCTTCAAGAGTCATTTTTAACTAGCAATTTACCTTCAAATTCATTGAGGTACATGATAGTTTAAGAGGATAATGATGATGAAAAGATGATAAAGATGATGAAAATACTCGACTCTTCAGTTTAAAGGTAAAAAAATATTGGCTCAATTATATTGAGTTTACTTCTTTACCTTTTTATATTTACTTTTGATATAAAATGTATAACTTTGATTGCCTCGAGCTTTGAACCAGATTTTTAGATTTCTCAGATTATTATTGACTTGGAAAACAATATTTTCATTTGTTATCAACTAATAATCATCTGTTGGTTGAATCACAATTGAAACAAAATATTGAGATTTGTTATCCAAGTAAATGTTGATAAACATGTTGAAACATTGAAAGCAAAAAATGGTTTACTTTAAATTGTTTCATTGAATCATTAGATGTTTTGATGAAAAGCTAAATTTTGGATTCAATCAATCAATGTTTCTTTGAAATGCAAATCTTAACTGCTGCTGTTAATCATTAATGTTAATCCACTGGATATTGACTTTTCAGGTTAAAATGTTGACCAGTATAGTAACTCTGAAATTTATCCATTCATTCCAATCACTGATTGAGATTTAATGCCTCACTTCTCAAGGGACAAATCAACAGATGAAACCAAATAAGATGAAAGCATCTAAGGTTACAGTTTTTTAATACAAAGTAACAATTGGTCCAGCCGTTAATTGACTTCAAAATACCCTTGGTTACAATTAAGCAAAAGTCATGGAAATTTATGCGCAGTCCAAGCATTGGAAAGCTAATTGGGTTGAGTAAAGGAAGTAAGTTCCAGTGACATTGTCAGTGTTAAGCACTGCAAATGATAAATTGATTTTCATTCCATGGATCAATTCAACTCCAAGCTGATAGCTTTTGCTATAAAAGTTAAGGATACTAACCACTTTACTACCAGAGATACCTTTAATAAATACAATTTCAATGCTAGAATAAATTATCGCAACCAATGATTGTGAATGAATCTTGGTATTGATGATCGCTGGTCAAGCTTATTCGCTTTTCTTTAAACCTTTTTGATGAGCATTCTTACATGACAAGTCATCTGCTTTTGATAGCTTGGCAACAATCAAAGGTGTTGCTGGAATCCTCGTCATTCAAAATCCTTTATCAATTCTATTGATTGAGTTTCTAATATTGGCAATAAATGAATATTTTCAAATCACTCCGAGGAGTGTGCGAAGAGGCTGATGCAAAATCTAGATGCAAATCACTTGAACCAAATTGGTGCCTCTTATCAAAGGCTTTGAGGTTATCGCTTTTCCTTGACACTGCTTTTGAACACTCAACATTTCAAACTGATATTCATGAATATGTTGCCAACAAGTTCACAGTTATTTTCCTGGTTGTTCAAGGCGTAAAACAAAACCCAAATTAACATGCAACTTGTGATCTTGATGATACATTATAACAAATAATAGACAACAAAAAAAACCATGAAAATGAAATAGGGCCAAGAATAATTTCCGCCGGATGTTGAGAACTTTATTGATTATGTTTTTTGTCTTTATTTTCCTTCTTTTTACCTGTGTGTGATCACCATGATAACTTGATGTATTATGGTGATTGCCATGAATAGAGTAGACTAGCAAAAACAAAAGGTAAAGCTTGAAACTGATCGAGAAAAATTGGGAGAAAAAAGAAGAATGAAAATTGATTGATTCTATTGATTAAAGTCACATCAAGTTCCGCCAAGCTCTCAATAAATGCCAATAATCTGATATTGTCAAAAAGGTTGAATCTAAAGAGAATCTTTTTCTTCTCTCATTTTGATAACTTTTATATTATTGATAGATTGGTAAACAATAACCTTAGGCTAAGAGTGAAACGCAGAGAAAAAAACAATTGAGCAAATACAGGGAGAAACAAAATGACACAAATCAATGTGTTTATCTGTTGAAACTTGATGAACACATGAAATCTGTTGAAATTGTTTTTTTGTTCAATGAAATATTTGCTGAAACATTTTGAAAATAAATCATGAAGATGTGCCTGCAAATGTTGAGCAATCAATTTAGTGAGATTGATTTTGAATTTTTGCTCAAATGCTTAGGAAACCAAAAAAAAGGTTGAATAGCAAATGAATTTACTGAGGGAAACAATGAAACTCAAGATTAATTGAGTAAAACTTTTGAAAGCAAAATTTTGTACCAAAAAGCTGCTCATTAGTATACATGTTTAAATAATAATTGTAATGCAAAAATTCAAGTCAAACTTGTGATAAGATTTTAAATATTTCATCGTCTTTACAATGAATATTCATGTAAAAATACATCATCAGCTAAATGGAAACTTTCACAAAGGAAACTTTTTCATCCAAACCATAATTTCAATTTTCATTCATTCATTTATCATCTTGATCGTTTTATCAATTTATCCAAAGTCAACTTCAAGTTAAACCGATTAAGCCGTGAATGGTTCAAACTTGAACCCGACACATTCACTCGTTTCCCCATCAAAATTACTTTATTAGTAAGGGTCCTGTGCATAGGAATTACCAAACTAATAGTTTACAAATCACTAGATAATTGGAGCACTGACCACTTAATTGACACACTATTGTCCACTCGGACCATTCATTTCGCTATTACTTCAATAATCTTCATTTTCATCATAATTTTACCTTCGTTCTTAATGTCATTGTTAGACAGTGAAACATGCTTATTTCCAACCTAGACCAGCCCCTGTTTCCCATCAAGATCACTTCTTAGTAAGGGTCTGTGTGTGACAACTACAACAGTTTAAGAGTCACTATAAAATTGCTGCACTGGCCACTTGATTGATCCACTAAGGGCTACTCGTGCCAGTCATCTGGTTGTTACTTCAGTAATCTTCATTTTCTCATTTCTCTTCTTCATTCATATTGTCATTGTTGGACCGTAAGACATGCTTACATCAACATTATTCAACCTAAACGAGTCACTCTTTCCGATCAAATTCAACACTCGGTTGAAGGATTTTTTCGTTTACCATTTTTTTGTTTCCACAAACGGAGTTATCATTTAAACTTGCTTTACTAAATCGTTGGAACCAGTTTGAATCTTTAATTACCATGAAATTGAAATGCTTTAAAAACACAATTGAACACTTTGAGGCACAAAAGTGTAAATTTCAAGTTTCACTTCTTTTCCATTGTTGATATTCATTGTAATCACATTGTTGGTATCCAAATGCTATTTACAGAGAGAAACATGAGAAGTGAATAAAGCAATAATATCAACTGGGAGTTGATAATTCCCGGATGAATCGGAAACAATTGAAATGGTATTGAAGATTAACTTTTTAGAGTTTCATATTTTAATGAAAAACAATGTTCATTTTTGTTTCTCCAATTCAATTGTCCCCTCTTAACCCATCAATGTTGCCAATGGAATGATTCAATTTGATTTAAACATGAAAACTGATTAGCTTTCAATTGAGTTTATTACAAACTTGTCAATCACCAATACCAATGAGGATAAGGTTGATGATGAGATGAACACGAATTGTGATGATATCAACAGTTATAAGTTGTTGGTAACAAGCTAAATTAATAAACTGGTGTAAACAATTCAATTGATTAAGATGAAATCAAATTAATTTCTGTAACCTCTTGTTAACAGGGAGAAGAAAATGTTAATCATTTTTTATTAAATTTACACTCTACATAACCTAAGGGTCCATGTTACTTGACTGGCCAATATTTTCATCATTTTCAAGCTCACAAACCTTGACCAGTCCTTATCTTTCCCTCATCACCGCCATCATCATCAGCATCTTAAACTTCCTTCAAGTCATCATCCTATTAGAAAGGCAACTGCAAAATTAAGTTGCACTTCTCAAAGGGAATTGACCGATTCCTTTGCAAAAACAAGATTTAATTTACTCAGCCTTTTGTCTTGTGCATCTTTCCCATCCTCTTATCATCACCTCATCATCATCTTTCCTTTGCCTTCTTAATTTCGCCTCTTGTTATGAATATACTCTTTAGGCATTCAACATTTCACTTTGATCAAAGCTGGTTTTGCCACGTTAAAACAGTTAGATGTTGGCTTAAATGAAATTACTCAAAGCTTTAGCTCATTTGTTTTGGCTCAGCCTTTTTTGCCTCTGGACGGACAACTGGGAATATTATCCAATATTATCCTTCAGGCGTTAACAATAAATGTACATCTTTGCTCAACTGTTCATTGCCAATCAACAAATTGTTGACCATTGTTGCAACACAACTCCAACCTTAATTACAGCCCAAGTCCAACTGTAGACCAACACACTTTACTCTTTTATACATCGATAGCAAGTCGTGTTAAGATACATTTCACATTAAATTTCATGCAGAAGCACGCAGAAGCACATCTAGACTTGGATCAAAACTTAGGTCTAGACTTGGGTGCATTACGATG